GAATTAAAGTAAATAATTATAATTCTTATGTGAAAAATATAAACTTTATTCTCATTAATATTTCAATTCGTAAACATGAAATGATAAAGTTTAATCATTCCAAACTATTAAATAGTTTCCATCCTCGGTAATATTTCCATAATTTTTGCAAGATCTACAATCAATTGGTTCACTTTAAACATTAAATGATTAATTTTGATAGCTCAAGATATTAACATATTTGTTATGCTTTATTATAAATATTTACTTGGCTTTATTATAAATAGAAGGAAATAAGGATTATCCATCTTTTAAGTCTAAATTCTTTAAGTTAATTTGCAACTCTTTTTTGTCTACAAATTTTTCTAATTCTTATTTATATATATGAATAGAACCCTAATTTTCTTGACACCAAGCAATTGTATCTTTATTTAGAAAACAAACTCTAAATCCATTATCATTTTTCAGATTTTCTAAAACTTACTTAAACTTAAATCTTCTTTCATTTGCTTTCTTTTCCCAAACTATTATTGTTTTATCATCACTACATGAGACTAATTGTGTTTCATCTTCATTCATACTCATCTAACCAATATGTTTACTATGCTTATTAAGCTAATAATGAAATATCAATTAATTCTTATCTGTATTTAAAGTCCAAACTTTGATTGATCCATTAGAATGACCAGAAAATATTAAATTTTCACTTTAATTTAATAATAAACACCATACAATTGACTAAGTGTCACAAGGTTATGATGGTTCCCAATAAATTGAATTAATCATCTTTTTCCATCCTATAATCTTACAATCTATACTTCCAGTTATAAACCAATTCATCTTTTTACTAAAAATAATACAAGTGACATCTAAATTATGACCTTTTAAGGTTACTCCTGAATCTCTTAATTATCCTTTTTCAAAATTCCAAATTTTTATATCTTTTTTAGATGCTCCAGCCATTATTGAACCTTATTTATTGAATGCAAGGGCAAAACACCATTATTCTTAATACACTTCTTAAATTTAATGATAAGTTATCTCTCTTTATGGAGGACGCTTGTCAAAAATAGATCCAATAGGACACTCTATGGGATTTACTTATACTTTTTTTATTGGTTTAAGTTCTTCATAATATATGGTTTCTTCCAAAACATTCTTTAAGTTATCTGTTTCTTTTTCTATTATATTTATAATTTATTTGATTATAGCAACAGAACTTTCTAATTTATTTTAGAAATTCTTATTTATTTTATTTATTCTTTCTGCTTCGAAATATCATTATTCTTCATCACATTAATCTTCATATTTTATTTAGTTCATCTTTATATTAATGAGAATTCACTATTACAATATCTAAAACTTTGGTTAGGTTTTCTTTATGTTGATATAAGTATTTAATAAATTAATCAATTTCATAATTTTTTTATTTTCTTAAAGTATTAAACTAGTAATTCAACTTCTCCGTAATTATAATTAAAAATCAATCTATACTAATTCATCATTTAATGTTAGATTTTAGTTTCCTTTCTGTTCTTCTAAGCAATTCAGCACAAATCAATCAACCTTTCTTTTAACTTGAATTGTTATTCATCAAGCACCATTAGAACTGAACAATCCTTATGTTTAAAAACACTTTCGATTGGGTTAACATTTTTAATCATTTAAGATTCTTAATTAAAGATATCAATATCATCTTCTATGCTTGATTTTATCAATAAAATTTCTGATATTAATTATTCCAAATTTATGGGAAATTTCAATAAATTGTTAAAAAGGTTTAATCATTAATATCAATTATAAGTCATATTATATAGAATTAGATTAATCATAATATCATTAAATGACTATGAAGAACATCAATAATTGAAGAGATTCATATTAAGGAATATATGAAATTTAGGAATCAGTATTATTATTGAATTTAATTATATTTCTATTATAAAGAATTTGTTAAGATTATATTATAAATATTAGCTACTATTTAACTTTAATTTCTGGAATCAGCTTCTTTTTACATATATTAATATATGAAGATTCTAATTGATTTACATCTAAGATCTTATGAATATTTTACATTTGCAAAAATTGCTATTTTTCTTTTTATTTACAAATTTAAATAAGAAAAAAAATAATCAATAGAAAGACACTAATATTTGATTGAAGCTGGATTTCTTT